TTCCGATATGATGCATAGACATTGATTTAGGAAAAAAAAAAAAAAAAATCAAGAATTAAATTCCTTAAATCCAATCTTGCTTCAAAAACTCGAGAGATATTATATCTGCAGTTACCATATTGTGTGATCTACTTCCTAGGACCCAACCAAAGAAATTTTCTTTGAGTCCACGACAAATGTACACCAGTTTTCCTAATTCCTTTTTAGAGCTCAGTATACTAAGAAGAAATGCTCACCCTGAATAACAACTGGAAATAGCCATTTTAACAACTTTTTATAAAACACATGTGAAATGTTTCAAGCCATCTGAAATGACGTTCATGAAAACAAAAAAAGAAAGAAATATCTTACTTAGTCATTTACAAACATCTGCCTCTGAGGCTAGGGACAGATATTCAAAAAGCCCAAACCTGAACTGATTCAATCTTTGTAGGTTAGTCTAACCTGCATAGGCTGAGCTGCTTTTCAACTGAACAGACATTCATTTTTCATTCCAGAAATGCAGGCACATGCCTGCAGTGGCTCAGGCTAGAAGCCAGTAGGCACTGCAGCAAGCCCTCCCTTCACCTCCTCAGCAGCTGCAAGGCTAGAGGGAAGCTGACTTGGTGGGGTGTGGTCAGGCACTGACAGGCTGTTAAGTATGATTGGGGAGGGGTTTAAACCCCCAACATGGCCTGTAAGGACCCCAGCCAGGGTGTGCCTGGAGGAGGAGGGGGGAAGCAGCCCTTACCAGGCTTGTCCCCAAGGCCAGACATGGGCCCAGGCAGTGTCTTGGGCAAAGGGAGGCAGGGAGGGGAATTAAACTCTCCTGTCTCCCCTCACAGGCATGGGGACCCCAGCCAGGGTCTGCCTGGCTTTCTCTACTGTTCATGTGGCAGGGCACCTGGCCAGAGCCAGCCAACATGGCCATGCCATCCACCCAGGGCTGAGGCTGGGGTTGTGGGGCTGAGCCGGGTCAGGCCAACATGTGGGCACTACTGAGGGCGGACATGGAGGGGCCAGCCTAAGCTGGGCCACGGGAGCTGGGCCCTTCCCAGCAGGCTGCAGCTCGGGCTGGAGTTGTGGGAGCTGTGCAGCTAAATTGTTCCCAGCTCCGCATGCCCAGGCCAGGTGGGCCTGTCAGGGAGCTGCAGCTGACTGGGTAGGGTCTGGCAGGGCTGGTCCCGGCTGGGCCACAGGGGCAGGGCCCTTCCCAGCCAGCTGCAGCTCTGTGACAGCTCAGCCCAGCAACATGCCCAGGTTTATCTTAAACCAGTTTCAGCCATTTTGAAACTGGTTTATGTGCAATGAACTTATATTTGTGTGTAACTTATGTCCCTAGCCCATGACACTGCTCTGACCCATACCTAACTCTCCAAGTGTTTTGGCTGTTTCTTTGTTTTTAAACAAGACAAATATTTCTATTGGTTGTCTTAAATTTACTTGCTGGTTCTCTATTTTCCATGGTTCTTCTGTGTGTTTTTAGCTTAGCTTGGCACATGAAAATTAACCTAAAGCAGCTCGCTGTTCTCCAAAACCCTCTTCAAAAACACTTCAAAACATTTCAACCATGCCTCCTCCTCCAAGACTTTTGCACCATCTCAGATTCATACTTTTACCAAACTGTAAGTCTTAACTGTTCTGTTTGTGCTCAAACTTCATTTAAATTCCTACTTTCTGTATGGTTGTAAAGCACCAACCATAATCTATGGTTATTCATTAAGACAGAGATCTTAAAGGAAATCTTCATAGGTGGTTAGACATTAGGTGGTAAAAATAAAGAAATATTATGGAATTATGATCAACAGCAAAAGTTAAAGAATCTATTCAGTTCTTGTCAGCAGTGTTTAAAAAGCAAGTTAATAAAACTCATGGCACTACTCCATTATTGTAGTCTATGCAAACTGCTCAAAATAAAATGCAATATCCATAGCTCAGTTTTTGATTTACAGAACAAGCAACCAAGCAGCAGAAACAGTACAAAATGAGGTCAATAAAAGAAAGCAAGCCATGCAAGTAAAAGCTGGTAGCTAGACAACAGAAAATTAGAACGTATTTCTGAAAGTATAGTTGAGTGGTTTTCTTTTTGTTTTCCTCCATTCCTTTATTAATTTGTAGTGACTATTGTCAGCAACAAGTTGTAAAACACCCCATGCAGAGAGCTTCCACGTAGGCTGACAGAATTCCATACAAGACAGACACACTTAGAGAATTGGGGAAAATATTTCATTGACAGGTAGGAGAGAATGATGCTTCCCACACCTCATATAAGCAGGATAGTTAAGCTGCTCCTAATACCAATTTCGTCAAAAGACACTTCTTGCAGAAGGTACTTTCAGAGATACTTTGCTTGTTTTGTTTCGCATGAAGAAAACAGTTACCCAGTTAATCAGTTACCTCAAGTTCAAGGTATCAGTAGTACAAATTCTTATTTCAGAGTACATTCATACAGTACAGTTTGTGGTTTCATAAAGTGTACACATGCTCCTCTATGAAGCTAAGAAGTTTTACAGTTAACAGAATTTGAGCAATAGTATTTTTCAAATACTGTTTTGGGGATCTGTGGAAAGACAGGAGATAAAAAAAAAATTTCACATTTAGTTCAGTAACCTTAATAAAATGAAAACCAAATCAGACTCCTTCAAGCCTGCCTGGCTCGCAGCACACTACAAGAGAGCAGAAAAGCAGCTGCCACCAGTGGGCAACAAGGGAAGCCCCAGGGGATGGGGAGCCAAGCCTGGTGCTGACAGCTCTGTCTCCACCACATGCTTGCCCAGTGGGGCTGCAGCTGAGTCTGCGCTTGTTCCTGCTCCTGTTGCTACTTCCACCCCACCTGCCTGTCCTATACCTTTCCAGCACAGCTGCAGCCCAGCCCATGCTGGCTCCTGCCCCACCTGCCTGTTCTGTGGCTGCCCAGCAGGAGTTTATGAGCAGCAGAGCTCCTTCACCACCCCCCTCTCCATCCATGCCCTCCCCCACTTAGCCATGCATGAGCAGAACCAGCTGTAGAGTCCCTTGAGCAGTTAATGCCACCACCAACGGTGCACAGCGGCTGTACCGGAGCCATGAGGAACCACCAAAAGCATGTGAATGTGCTCTGGTAGCTTAGCACAGGGGGCTGCTGTGTGCATATGGAAGAAAAACCATTTCTACAACTGTATGGCATTCCATATAGCCAACTAAAAAGCTTACACAGCATTGGGCTGAATTAGGTTCAAGAGTAATTAAACACACACATTTATGATAATTCTTGGGACTGCCCTGATACTTTACTGCTCTGTTATGGCAAATGTCACTTTTTCAAAGCTATATGCATCTCTACGTAATCAACCCACGTGATATCAGAATACAGGCTTTTTATTTGAAGAGTAATGAGAAAATTTTTTAGCGATTGACTACATGATTGATTAATGATCCATCTGCACATCAATTTAATCAAGGGCATAGACCTGAATTACCATCAAGTACAGTTCCTTACTCATCTCAAGTTAGCCATCTCTTAAAATAAAAATCCATAAATCTTTTCACTGTACTAGACATGGCACTGCATACATGAAATGAAAGATCTGTACCTTGTATCAAGATCATCTTTCAGACTTTTTTTTCCTTATGCAATAGACATGCATGCCATCAAATACTGTTTATCTTTTATACAGTAGAAATCTTTTATTTCCTATCATACAGTGGGACCCAAAAAAAGGATGGTTCTCCTACTTCAAAGAATTTACTGTCTCCTCCTCCAAATATTTTTGAAGGAAAAAAGATTGGATAAACTTCCAAGGAAATAGAGAAATATTTCTAAATTTTAAATTATGTGAAATTAGAAGTCTCAAACAAAAACCCACAGATTTAAAAAGCCCACAAGTCCAGGTGGCAGTCCTATTTCTCTTTGTAGGTATTCAACTATGTTTCATCACAGAGGTGGTTGGTTTTACTTATACACTAATTATACTTTCATCCACTACTGAACCGGCATTCAGAAAAGGCAACAATTTAATCCCGTATAATTAGGGACCTAGTCAAATCTCGATTGTGCAGATTTTGCCCGATTTCACAATTTCTGTGATCTCCTCAGAAAAGAAAGCCAATCCTCCCCACCGCCCCCAAAAATTACTAAAAATAAATACTGGTTCCCTAGTGGGAGCTAATAGTTCTCCACGCAGCATGGCATGAAGGGGGCTACCAGCACAAAGACGAACAGGCAAAACGGCTGACACCCCTACCCCTCACCGCTGATTTGCTGAGAGGGCTCCCTGTCATGTGCCCCCACCCCTCTCCACTAATCAGCAACAAGGAGCAGAGACGTACAACGGACAGCTCAGACAAATCAGCAAAGGATAGCACCATATAACAGACAGCCCTTTCCAATCAGTGGCAGGGGCAGGTCCACTGTAAGCCCATGAAAATGGAGGCTAGCCCCACAATCTGCCTGCTAAACTGGCCAACCACTTCTTCCAGTTGGGTAGACCCCTACATATAATCCAATATTTTTCAACACTTTTTTCCAACTCTTATCCTCTTTTGCAGTAAATCCCACTGCTACTGCACACAAGTAGTGCTATAAGATCAGATCCAAACACTGTCTGATATTGGAGTCTACTCTGATGGCTAAATTTAACTCAAACATCAAATTAGTACACCTTTTGTATTTTCTAAAACTTTTCCCAAATGTAAGGAATTAAGCATAAAAGTATGTCTTTATTTTGTATTACTCAAGTTTGTCATAAACATAGGCTATAAACAGACTGAAGAGATGTGCTTAATCAAATCCAACCTTCAGTAAATGCATTGCAGAATCCCTCAAAGCAGTACAAACTGATAATGCGCACAGTTCTCAGTGCAAAGAATAGCCAAGGTAAAGGCAGTTGGAGCATTTTCAACTAATCTCTCTTCTTAGATATGTTTGTTGATGCCAAACTAGTCGGTAAAGATGAATTGTTGTGACAGGAAAATTTCTGAGGCTTATGCTGAGAACTGGTCACAAAAGACACCCTAATCAAAAACTTGACCATTCCAATTAGGTGGAGGGGCAAAGGAAAAAAAGTTCAAACACATGCATAATTCAAGAATTCTACTTTTGGGGGCAGAGCAGTTGGAGAGAAACTTTTGAAATATCTATTTCAATGGGAAAGAAACATATACAAAACTTCAAAAGGTTTATTGTTCTCCGGACAGCTCAAATCCAAACCTTACCACAAATAATTTAGAGTGCGACTATTTTAGTTCATTTGCTCTCCATCAATCACTTTTCATATACGCTTAAGACGACATTTCTAAACGGAGGAAAAACAACAATAAGAAATTGACTGTTACGTTCTAATCTCAGGTTCTACAGCAGTTCCTAGTCAGAAGATGCCAATCACAAGCACTATCTGTGCCTACAGATGTGTAGGGAGGCTGCTCTGATATACTGTAATTAATCGAGTCTGCTCCAACACGCTGTAATCAAGTCTGCTAGAGTGTGCTAACAAGCACGCTCCAACAGCCTCCTCAGCGTGCGTGTACGTCTCCCGCTTCAAAATGGCGGCAGGGGTGCTTTAAGTAAAGCTCATTGAATGAGCTTTAGTTAAAGTGCTCCTGTTGCCATTTTGAAGCATGGGGACACTAATACACAAGACACTGAGGGCGTTTTAATTAGTGTAGCTCTCAGAGCCACACTAATTAAACACCTCCACTCCCAGAGCACATGTAAAAACCACCTGTGTGTGTACTCAAAACACTTTATTTCTGTATTATATGCAGAGAACAAAATGTTCAGAGAACTGACCAGGTATTAAGTAATAATAATAAAAACAGAAGAAAGAGAACAGGATATTTCATGAACTGCCTGTTGGTGCAGTAGTAATTTCTTAAAAAGTTGAAGAATGCCTAGAGAGTTTTCCAGGAAATCTGAGTAGTAAGCAGTACAAATCAACCTGAGACACCACCAAGTTCAGTAATCTGTAGTTCTAGGCAGAAGAAGCAAGAGATGTAACTAAATGTATTTATGTCAAAATAGTGATCGTCTACATATGCACTCCTTTCTCTCTCAATTTCTTGAATGATGCACTCAATGCAGTTAATCTGAAAAAGGTATATTAATCATTCATAAGCATTACAGATTTATATGGCAAGGACAAGTCCTTAGTTCATTAGCATTAGGAAGTATACCAAGTTATTTCCATCTGCATTTGAAAGCAAAGAATTACAAAAAAAAAAAACTCACCATTTGACTTTATTTCTCGTACATAGTTACTTGGAAACCATCCTGTTTTGCCACTGTGAGTCCCTTCCCACCAGCCTCCTTCTTCTACTCTTGTAACATGAATAATATCTCCTTTTGAAAATGAAAGTTCATCTTCATTTGTCTGTTGAAAATTAAATTTTGCTCTCACCACCAGTTGATGGTTGCTGTTATCTGTCATGTCCTAATACGTGAGAATATAAATAAAAGACAAAAATTAGACATAGTGAAGTAAAAGTTACATTAATCAACGTTTTTACAAGTTCTAATAAAATAAAATCAATGTTCACCCCAAAACGCAAGAACTGATTTATCTGATCATATTTCTATGATTTATGTCCACCAGCCTAGACCAGCATTTCTCAACCCATGGGTCATGACCAAGAAGTAGGTCGCAAGAATATATGAAAGGGTCACAAACAAACTTTAAGTGAATCAAGCAACTTTAAAAATGGATTCTCCTTTAAAGGAGAAAAATGTGGGAAACCATACATTTCCCCTTGCAGGCTGGCAGAGTTCCAGCCTGCAAAGGGCTGCTTGGGGGTGGAGGGAGTGGGAGGAGGGCAATCAGGCAGGGGGTGCCATGTGCATGCGCACACACATACATGCACATGGCAGCCACACAGCATGGAGAACAGCTCTCGCAGTTCCCCACAGGTAAGCCTATGGGGCAAGGGGAGAGGCACAGGTGATATGTTGAGGGAGGCATGGTAGGGACACATGTTCCTGTAGATTTGTGCACTCACAGCAGGCACAGGGCTGTAGTCTAACTGGACTGGCACAGGCAGGAGCTGCCTCCTCAGCCCAAAGGGCAAAACCCAGAGTGGCAGAGTGGGCCAGTGAGACTCATTGCTGCTGTCACTGTGATCCCTGTGCCAGCTGCGCTGCCAGCAGCTTGAGGAGCAATGGATTGGGGTGGGGGCAGAGGCTGCATTTCCCTCACCTCCTCCCACTGCCACTCCCACTTTATTCCAGCCAGACTCCTGTAAATCAGAAAGGGCCAATACAGCTAAAATGAGAATAAATTTATGTTCTCCAAAGCCTCAGTTCTCTATAAATAGCAGAAATGGTAGCTGCCAAAGGCACTTCTGAAGAAACAACCAGCTTTACGTAAATGTTTTTTTCCCCCAAGACAGATTCTGGGTTTGGGAGACAGGGATGATGGGGGACAGGGGAGAAGGAACCAGAAACCTAATGCTGGATCCTTGTCAGAGCTTGCAGTTCAAACTTCCTTCTGTAAATGGTTCATATTAGACAATTCTGCTCTGGGCAGGCTGGATTAGACAGTGACTAAGTTGAGGAAAATCATGGCAATCCTGCCAAGTAGGAGGAAAAAAAAAACACGTTTCATGAAAATAGACTTTGGCTCCTTACATGTGTTAAAAAAAAAAAACAAAGAACAGCACTTTAAACTCAGCACATTCCCACACTGAGCCCATCGCATGCCCAGACAAGGCATCACATTAGCTGGATCCAGCTCACCCAACACCTCTATAGATCAGGCGCTTTAGTGGGGCTTGTCTGCTTTTAACTAATAGCCAACTGAATTAGCTTTAGACAAAAGTGCCAAAAAGCCCACTGAAGTGCCTGATCTATACAGATGCTGCAGAGCCAAATCGAACTAACGCACTGTTTCTTCTGGTAAAGCGTAGGTTTGATTTTATTTTGTTTTTTTAATGTCTGTAAACAGCCTTTGATAACACACATTTTCTCCAAATGTAAGAGCAGTAGTTGCAAATGTATTTTTGAACAGCCATAGTGTGTTTGACTGCATTAGGAGTCTGTAACGAAGATTATATAATATGGTAAACAGCCAAACATTAGATGCTTAGGATGATAAATTCTTGGGATCTCTCCTTTGATTCTTTTTCCCTCCACTGTCTGAGGATACGGGGGGAAAACAATCCTCCCTGTCATTTTTTCTGTATAATGGAACAGTATCTTCAGCAGCTTGGATACAGTAGGTCTTGGATTTTAGTTTAAGAATCAGTTGCAGTAACATTTTTCCTTCTGAAGATGTTTGTAATTCTTATTGTGTCTGTTATATGTTCAACCAAGCATCTTGCATTAAAATCAGTGCTGACTGTTCACATTCCCATTTTATTTGCATCTTGTTTCCTTTGAAGCATCTAACAGCAAAGGTGCTATGCAACTTGCCCAGAGGCTATACCCTTGCCCCACACACAGATCCAGGGGGTACACACCCCCCATGGCTCCCCCGGAAGTACACGCAGAGGCAGGAGGTAGTTTTCTAGACATTTCTATAAAACTTTATTTCCCAAAAAGCTAAAAGTAATTGAGGGGGTTTTGTAAGATTAAAGTTTCATTTTCGGCCTAAATGTATCATCAACTCACTTTCAAACATTGTGCAATGTGGTACAAAGGCTTTATCTACATCATGTTTGAGGAACTAGTTACTGATGATTTATTCTGGCTATCCAAAACAAGTGCAGATAAAACCCATACACCACAGTACACCATGATCTAACGATATCATGAATCTGCAAACCACTACAAAATAAAAAAATCCCAGATTTTATTTAGTACTAAGCAGCATATAAGTAGTGTTCCACATTCTCAGTTTTTACCTGTTTTCACTGATAAATTCCCTGCAGTTTTTTTTAAGTCATTCAGTTTTTACTGATTTATACCCATTTTTCCATTCAAATCCCTGTTAACCATCATGAGTGGGGAATGGCTCATTCCCACTCATGATGGTTAACAGGGATTTGAATGGAAAAATGGGTGGTGCTGGTTACCTGAAGCACAGGTTTCCAACCGGACGTAAGAGGGTGGCAACAGCTGTTGCATACAGAGCAGGGAAGCAGGAGGGTGGCAGCAGCTGTATGGGGACTGGGGGAGGGTTGCCTGGGGGTGCAGGGCTCCCAGCTCCAACCCTGGGTGGGGGAGGTCCAAGCTGCACCCTGGCAGCTCCAGCTTCAGCCCTGCCCCGGGCACTGGAAGCTGTGAGCCCTGGTGGCGGGGGCCAGGCGGGAGAGCCTGGCCCCACTCCCTGCAGCAGGAACTGCACCCAGCTGCTCCATGTGGGTCCACAGGGCTGGACCCACTGCCTTGGGGTGCAGGGCTCCCAGCTCTGGCCCTGAATAGGGCAGGAGGTGCCAGTGCCAGGTTCCCCCCCACCACATCCAGGCACATGCCACTCCTGCCTCCCCCCAAATGCCAAGGCAACCCAGCAGCAGGCTGATGAAGCAGGGGGGAGGGGCGTGAATACAGTCAGGGAAGGAAGGCAGGGCCTGGCGCCATGTGCTTCCTGCTGCTGTTCCAGGGGCATGTGCCCATTTTGGGGGGGGGGGGCATAGCAGCAAGAGCTGTGCTTCCCCGCCCCGCACCCACTGACAGCTCCTCCCTGCTTTGCTCCCTGCTCCAGCCCTGGGAACGGCTCTTCCCCAACCCCTCCTTCTTCCCCTACACCAGCCAGTGCACTCAGGCTGCAGTGGTTA